AGAGAGTTCAGAGGGGAGAAGCATGGCTTATTTGAAGGCAGCTTTAGGAGAAGGACACACCTCCTAATCCCCAGCACCGTGGGAGATGTCTCATTAAAGACAGAATATGCACACCTTGCTCTGTGTGCTTCCCAGAATCCAGGAGGGCTAAGCAATTCCTTAAAGGGACTTCCAGGTGCTAGATTGCAGCTTGCCCGAGGCCCCAGAAAGGAAAGATACAGGTAGCTGATTTGGAACTGGTTGTCTTATAATCATCATTATCACTTTTATTATTTTATTTGTACCCTTTCCAGGGTTTCAAAAAAACAAAAGGAGGAAGGAAATTTCTAAATGAGGACTCAGTGTAGAGCTGCATTTCATCTTTAGACTGATAATGGGAATTACCTTGATATGGACAAGTTTGGACTGAGAAAATGCCCATATTAACTCAAAAGGGGCAGTATAATTACAATATGTAATGTCATTTTATATAAGGGAAAATAGGAAAACAGTTATTCTTGCCATATCTACAGTTTTCTCTACTTTTACAATCACTTTAATGCAGCACTTAAATGCTTGCCAATAAACTTTCTCATGAGAACCTTTCTTCTAAATCCATCTAATTAGGAAGCATATAGGGGATTGTAGATGACTACCGGGGAGCTACACTAACAAATAAGACTTTTTATAGTTTTGTAACTATTAATTTACCATCACAAAGGAACTGAAAATTGTACTGGGGAGTTTTTTTCTCCTATATTTTTAACAGATGTGTCCTGTTCCTTCCGCTTCTCTTGCCAACTGAAAGTAAAGGATCAAGAAGAATCATGATTGAGAAACTTTGTGGATGGCTGCCAGTTCTCATCTCACCTGATCTTTCCCAAGTCGTCTTCATTTTCAAGTGGTAGGTTACAGATTGTCATGACAATGCTTCTAGACCCACAGAGTAGCTTGTAGGTTGAGTTTTTGATGTGTATGTATTAATATACAGATATAATACAGATTAAATGCAGGGAAAAAAAGAAACACAAACTTCAGATTTGTTACATCCTTATCTCCTCACTAGTTTATTACACATTCATTGAACTCTTATTTTAGGTCAGTATCTTATAAGGCCAAAACTTTGAAGAAATATAGTTAATCTGGAAAGATAGGGTATTTCCAGAATTTTTTTGTGCACAAGCTTGCAGAATAATCCTAAATATTTATGCAGGGGGATATTTGTGTGTGTAAAATATATGCACCCATGGGGCTTGACAAACTATGTAGAGATACAAAGACCAGCATTCAGTTGCTCTCCAGCAGCTCGTCTTTAATTTTCTTTTACCATTAATATCTATATGTTAGAGTTGATGGGGGTGGGGAGGAGGGAGAAAGGGAGGAACACCTTGAAAATGCACTGAAGTACAATTGATGCAATGCTGTCTGCCTGACTTGGCAGAAAGCCTGAAACAATAGCTCAGAAATTTGAATTGTCCCAGTGGTTTTTCACTTGGAAGGCAATGTTGATACTTTACAATGACATTTTAAACTATTTTACTGCTTATCAAAGCAAATCAGAAATGAGGAAGTGTTTTGTTACAAGGTTATAATATACTACTCTTAGTGATTGCTTATTTTTGTTATACCTTTAACAACCCAAAGTAGACTGGGAGGAGTATGCCATGGATCGCATTTCTTTGTTAAGTTTTCTTTTAAAAAAATATTTTATATAGTCTTAAGCAGTAATAGGAATTTTAACCAAGGTTTAAAACCATGCTGAAAAATTCAACTTTCTGCTGAGATGTACAGGTGTTAATTATGTTTTAACAGAACTATGACTTTGCACCACTTATTTCTACCTATACTGTGTTTCATACTCTATGGATTGATGCAAGGAAGTAGTTTATACATTGAAAATTCTGAAGAATTGTGTCCTTGACATTCAGTTTACAGAACATCTGCTAGGCCATCATTTTACAATGCGCTCCTATATCTGCCTCAAATTTAACATCTCACCCTTTCAGCATGTCCTTCTAGCCCTTCCTGATGCTGTTGCTGTCACTTAAACTGAGAGCATACATCTGGTCCTTTCCCTAGGCTATATGGATGTCAACCACTCCTAAAAATAATCTTGTATTTTGTTCTGCTGCACAATTGTTCTTTAGCTGAAGTTCCTGCTTTAATCATTCTTTTGTGACACATTTGCCAAATCCCAGACACTCAAACATGCTGGTACTGCCCCACAATGCCCATATTCATTTCCTGCCTTAGCACAGTCTTATCATTTTGAAGGATGTTGACTTCTTGTTCTAATTCAGTATGCCACTAGCCTTCTGTACAAAGTGTGGTCTTGGATATTTCTCTTTAATTTGACTGTTTCTGATATGACAACTAATCCTTTGAAGCAATAAAAATATGCATAGTATTAAGAGACTTATCCCTCAGTAGAATGGTTTATTACATTGGTCACAAAAGGAGCAATGGCTTCTGATTGTTCAAGCAATTTTGTTGAAAATTAGGCAGCATCATGCCTGACAAAGTAAAACCAGCTAAAGGAGTTATTACACAAGAATTAGAAATCCTTGGGAAAGCAGTGGATTTCTTAGTGTTATTTCAAGTTCTGAATTTTATGTTTAAGGACACGCCTGAAATTATACCAAAATACATGAACACTAAGAATAATAAGGCTTTTGATTACACCATGATACATGGAAGCCAGAATGTCATATAGAATGTGAACTGGTAGGGCTGTGCGAAGCTTCAGGTGTTGATTCGATTCGGAGGAAATTCAGCCCAATTTGGTGGCCATATGTCCAAATCTGAATCATATTAGGGGACCAGTAAAAAGGTCTGAATCGATTCAACGCTCTCTGAATTGATTCGGAAAAGATTCGGAGAGCTTTGACGATTTGGGCAGACCCCACCGGCTGCAGCAGGGAGCTGGAGCCGGACTCGGAGCTGGTAGGTGGGGGGTGAGGGAGGAGAGGCTGGAGGAGGG